TCCCCTTTTTTGGAAGACAGCTCCGTGTGTGTGTGTGTGTGTGTGTGTGTGTGTGTGTGTTTTCTTTGCTTGTTTGTGATGCTTCATCCCAAATGTAGATGCTGTCTTTTGCATATACTAGTTCTGCAGTACTTAGAGCCTTCTTTTACCCTGTTTTATTATTAAAGCACCTTGTTCTAGCTAATAATTCATTTTATTAGATTTTCCCTGTTCAAACTACATTTATAGATCCTTTCCTCTGACTGGACTCTGATGACAAAGTACGTGCCCCCTTGATGGTTTTGCAATTCGTAAAACTTCCTCCAAGCCAGCTACGGGCAGGACTGAGTAAACAAGGTGAATAAAGATGGAAATAATGTAGAAAATCTGACATGACCTAAAGAATTCTATAGGACCGTATTAGGCTAGGTAATGCAAGGGAAATGAATCATTAGGAAAAAGGTCTGGGGCCTTAGAGTGTTTCAAGAGCCCACCAAGATGTTAAGTATGTACTTCATCTAGGGAATATCTCTACATACAAAGTGCACGTGCACATTTCTCTCTTTCTCTCTCTCACACACACACTACAAAATAGAAAAGGAAAACTAAAAAATCAAAGTAGTTTTTTATTTAAATATTTCCAACTACAACTCTACTTGAATTCAATTTAACCCAGATCATTTGGATTGTGAGCACATTTTAATGTTTAAAACAATATGTAGCAAGGTCTTCCCAGATAGGAAGCAAATTTGGAGCTTGCTAAAATTTTTTAAAGTTCTTGAGCTTGATTCACTGAAGAGGGCAAAATTTTTAATTCAATTCAGACCAAAGAGTTTAAGTTTGTTCTGTTGTTAACGGCCGCATACCTAACAACAGCTACCAACTTTTTACTTTTATTTTTCTGTCCATCAGCTTGTTAATAAGTACCCTGTTTTTAAGAATAACAGCAGCAAACAGAACCACAGACCCATAACCATTAGAAGCATGATTGCCTGATAATGACTCTTTCACTCACACATGGTCCTGTCCTAGCTCTGGGGCAGACTGTCCTTAACCTCTGAGTCTTCAACTTCACATGTCAGCAGTCCCTGTGCTGCCTTTCAACTTGACATCGGTGGATTCCTTATGTTGACTGCTAGGCTTTCGTTCCTGTTGCAGAATTATAATGCCTTTCCCATTTCTTTCTTAGTTGATTTTTTTCCCAGAATTTACAATTTGCAAAAACAGATACATTTCCCGACAAATGTCTGCAAGGAATTTCTACATGGAAGCACTTACTAAATGATCACAGTTTCTTTTCTGTTTTTCTTTTTTTTTCTAAACTTCAGCTTTACTAAGGTATAACTGACAAATAAAATTATAAGCTATTTAAAGTGTACACAGTAGTGATATACATATACATTGTGAAAGCATTCCCCCATCTAGTTAATTAACTCATTCACTAACTTATATTTATCTGTGTGTGTGTGTGTGTGTGTGTGAAAACATTTAAGCTCTACCTTCTTAGAAAATTTCAATTATACAATACAGTGTTATTAACTATAGTCACCATACATTAGATCCTCAGACCTTATTCATCTTATAGCTGAAATTTGTACTCTTTTACCAACCTCTCCCTACTACCCCACTCCCAACCCAAGGCAACTTCTTATCTACTCTCTGTTTCTGAGTTTGACTTAGAAAAATCATATCTCTCGTGTAGGTAATATCATGCAGTATTTGTCTTCCTCTGTTTGTCTTATTTCACATAGCGTAATACCCTCAAGGTCCCTTGTGTTGCCACAAATGCAGATTTTAGGTTTTTCCCATTACCAAAGATATTCATATATATAATATATGAATTATATATGAACTATATATCTGTATAATATACATAATGTTTCCATATCTTGGCTCTTATGAATAATGCTGCAATGAACATGGGAGTGCAGAAATCTCTTTGAAATCCTGTATTCATCTCCTTTGAATATATACCCAGAAATGGAATTAATGAATCATATAATAGTTCCCTTTTGGGGGTACCTGGGTGGCTCAGTCAGTTAAGTGTCTGCTTTTGGTTCAGGTCACGATCTCAGGGTCCTAGGATTGAGTCCCTCATAGGCTCCCTGCTCAGTGGGGAGCCTGCTTCTCCCTCTCCCTCTTCCACTCCCCCTGCTTGTGTTCTCTTGCTCTCTCTGTCAAATAAATAAATAAATAAATAAAATCTTAAAAAAAAATGTGTTCCCTTTTTAAATTCTGAGAAACCTTACCATTTTCCATAGTGGCTGCACCAATTTATATTTTCACCAACAGTGTACAAGTGTTCCTTTTTCTCCACATCATAAACAACACTAATCTCTTGTCTTTTTAATGACAAACATACTTGACAGGTATGAGGTGCTAGCTCATGGTGTTAAAGATTGACATTTTCCTGAGGATTAGTAGTACTTGGTGCCTGACATGTGTCTGCTGGTTATCTGCATATCTTCTTTGTAAAAATGTCTGTTTGGGGGCGCCTGGGTGGCTCAGTGGGTTAAGCTTCTGCCTTCAGCTCAGGTCATGGTCTCGGGGTCCTGGGATCGAGCCCCGCATCGGGCTCTCTGTTAAGCGGGGAACCTGCTTCCCCCCATCTCTCTGCCTGTCTCTCTGCCTACTTGTGATCTCTGTCTGTCAAATAAATAAATAAAATCTTTAAAAACAATGTTTGGTTTGTCTTCCTTTTTTAAATTTGATTGTTAGGATTTTTTTTTTTTTTTTTTTTTTTGCTACTGAGTGGTGTCAGTTCTTTATTTATTTTCGTTATTAACACCTTATCAGACATATGATTGGCAAATATTTTCCCACATTGTGTAGGTTGCCTTTCCATTTTGTTGATGGTTTCTTTTGCTGTGAAAAAGCTTTTCGGTTTGATGTAGACCCGCTTCTTTATTTTTACTTTTGATCTCAGATCCAAAAAAACCATTACTAAGATTGATGTCAAATGGCTTCACTCCCATGTTTTCTTCTAGTGGTTTTATGGTTTCAGTAGTTCTGTTCAAGTCTTTAATCCATTTTGAGTTGAAGCTACCTGCTTTCTAAATGTGTTAGTAATCCACCATAAGATCAGAACAAAGAGGATTAGTCTAATCCATTGTCACCACTGGAAAAAAGTCACCTTCCACATTTTGCCAAAAATATATGAATGAGTTTGTCCAAAATCTCCAGAAAACAAACATTTCAATTGTCTAAGAGAAGTATATGTTTTTCTATTTTTGAGATTTTAAGTAAAATAAATACCTTTTGTAAAAAAAATTAAAAATAAAACCCAAAAACATTAAAGGTAACTGAGCAACTTCACAACACAATATAGATTCACAAAATTCAATGTTGTGAATGAATAATATTCACAACACAAGATAGACAACATTGGAAATTATGATATTTTGGGTTCTATATTATTTGCCTTTCTGTTTTGGCTGGTAATAATACACCAAAGGTAACCATAAAAGAACCATGTATATACGATCTTGCTAGTTTTTCAGTGTCAGATGAAATTCTAACTCTCCTTGACTCCACATAAAGGTTAGGTGCTCATTCTCACTGTGTCTTTCTAATATTTGGGAGATTCTACTGAGACAAACAGAGCAAATACATTGTCTTTTCAGTCAGCCAATAGTGTTTGGAATACATATTCTTACTAAATATGTCTCCGTTACCTTTTAAGTTCCTGTACACTTAAAACTGACCTACGGAAAGAAGCAGATGAATATTTCAGATCACAAAAGAAGATACCACAAAAGAGGAGGAAGGATTATGTTGAAAGGATTTTTTTTTTCTGTTGCTGTGGAATTGTGGTTAAGGCTTAGAGTTAAGGGGGGGGGGCACTTAAATCTTCATATTGGAATCTGAAAGAACTTCAAAGACCTGCTAGTGTTTAGTATCAACCAAGTCACCAAAGTTGGGGGTCATTACCCCTGTGCCACCTTACAGTTTGAGCCATCCAAGTCAATGTAAGAAAAGGACCATGAAGCTGGAGAAGAGTCTCTGGTAGAAGACAAAGCAAGTGTTTTCAATGACAGAAATGGCGTATCTGCTTCCTGAAGGAAAGGTAAAGAGGTCCCAATATATTGGCTATGTTTATTGATGCCTGCATTCAAGGAAAACTTCGTTTTTGTGTGTTTATCCCAGTGAAAAGCCACCAAACTTGGTGTTCTTCCCCTTGGGTTGTCAGAGAAGGAGGGGAGTTGGGGGAAGGTGACATGATGGAGGATGACCAGGCAAAGAAAGGATAAGAGCATTTCCTTGAACTCTTACTTTCTGGGCCATAAGGAAGGTGGATGGAGTCTTTCAACAAAAATTTCTATTCCTGAGAGCTATCGTTAGCAATAGAAAAGGAAAACCAAATAAATACTAAAATTTTGATGCTTAATTAATAATTATCTATGATGTTTCTAGCCTGCCAGTTTCTAACCCAACAGACCAACTTCCTCCTCTTTACCCATCTCATTTTAGAGAAAAGTAAATACCAATTCCATGGAATCCAAGAATGTCAAGATTCTGTTTTCTTTAGATTGATTTATATATGCCTACTACGTATGTAGCATGTAGGTATTGTATGTGTTTAGGGAATGTGAAAAGGACCCTACCTCCAATGGAAGTTTTGCATTTATAGCACTGACCATGAGCACATTGTGCAAGGAGTGGTTGTCTATGAAACTATACAGATTTTACTTATCAAAGTCCAAGCAGGTCCTTCAATTGTAGAAAATGGTTCTCAATGATATAATTATTTGTATTTCACTAATTGTTTACCACACTGTAGCTACATGGGCAAACTCTGAAACTGAAAGAATATAAAATGTGAAGGGTTAATATAAACACTCAAGGAAGAATAGTGTACCACTGACAGAAACAAGTATCCTTAAGTCTCCAAGTATTTGGATCAATTAGGCATGAGACAGACACATCATTCTATAACACTAAAAATATTTGCTTATTCTAACCTCCCCCCATATAATGGGAACATAATATGAAATAAAAATACTATTTAATGAAAAACTCACCATATCTGTATCTGAGACAGGGCCAAAACTGGTCACGTAGATGTTAGTGAAGACTTCAGTAATACTGTCTGATACGAGAAAAAGAGATTAAATATAGATAATATATAATGAAAGCCACTGAAAGAGAAGGGGTCAAGTACATGGAATGATTAGAAAGCTCTGTGATATTTAAGAATATTGGTTTTTACTTTCTCTTCAACTTTCACAAACAACAAAAATTTCTATAATGCCCAATTATTTCATAGATTCTCACAATCCTAAATGCTAAATTCCTGGAAGCATTATGGCATTTTTACTTGGAAACTATACCTGATTTGGAGCATTTTGTTTTAAACATATTTCTGATAATTAATAGTTTCTCAGAATCTGTGTTAACTGAACTAGTTTACAATAAATTTACTACCAGTACTAAAAATAAAGTGTGGTTAGTATGGTTGCTATTTGATAGAGTGCTAAATCTGGTTTTTAAACTAAATATTTCAGATGGTACTTCATGATGGTACAGGTTTAGTCTGTAGACTGTAAATTAGTATATCTTCTCAATAAACCACAGAAATGAATTGTTATTTGTTAGAAACAAATATAATTCAGATTAATATAAAAAGCTTCATTATTCAGTGACATAAAAATAAAAGCAATTAACAGACATTAATCACAATGGATTATTTCCATACAAACTTGTCTTTAAAGGTATTTACAAATGCATGAAATGTTAAAATTTACTTGAATTAGATTCAAGTTACATAACTTATGTTATGTAACTTATTAACTGTAACACAATTAACTAGATTGCTCTTTTTTTAAAAGATTTTATTTATTTATTTGTTTATCTATCAAATAAATAAGTAAAATTAAAAAAAAAAAGAGCTATCCAGTTAACAGAGAGAGACAGCGAGAGAGGGAGCACAAGCAGGTGAAGCGGGAGAGGGAGAAGCAGGCTCCCCACTGAGCAGGGAGCCCCATGTGGGATTCAATCCCAGGACTCTGGGATCATGACCTGAACCAAAGGCAGATGCTTAATGACTGAGCCACCTAGGCACCCCTGAATTGCTCTTTTAGCCCCATGATTTAGATCTTTTAAGTAAGCCAAATAGTGATGGAGGAAAGGCTCAAAAGGACTTGAAAAGAATACTTCTTCCAATGTACTTATAGAAAAAAAAATACATCATTAATTTCTATCATCATGAACTGAGTGTCTCATTTATTATCAAATTTGTAATTGCACAGAAGAAATATCACAAAATATTTTTCATATTGTACTGGACACTAATTCAGAACCATAAAAGGGAGAGTAAACTAAGTCTGGGTATACTGTATCCAATATGACCAAAATAAAAAGCAAAAAGGATTTTGAAATAACAGAGCAGACTTTGAATGTTTAGACTTCAAAGTCTTGAAATATAACAATCTGCATGACAATCCTATGAGATAAGTTCTCTGTTATTATCTCAATATCTACATGTACACTTATCTCTATACAGACAGGTAAGGAAGGGTGCCTAATGACCCACCTTGGTAGAGTGAATAGAGCCAGGTTTTAGAACCCAGGCAATCTGGCTCGTAAGCCCTAAGGGAAAACCAAAGCTAAAACTGTTTTCTCATTAACTAAGTATTTCTATTCACTGTATTCACAATACTCTACACCAAAAAAAAATGCAGTGTTCCAAATAAATGCATTTATTCAGCTTTATTATTTTCTATTCTATTTTATTTTAAAAACTATTTTCATGAAATTTTATCATAAAACTCATCTGGGAAATAAATATGTTTATAAAGTTTACCCTCAGCTGCCAGCTGCCCCCAAGACCTGCCCAGAAAATCAGCTTTGTGGGCATTGTAGCTTGTGCAGTCTCAAACAGCCCTGTGCTTGCAAAAGCCCCAAGCTTGCTTTAGTGTCCTGTTTTTCTCTTTTAAAATTCCTTATTATCTTTTGAATAAAGGGCCCTGCATTTGCATCCTGGACTAGGTCCCACAAATCATGTAGCTGGTCCTAGACATGAATTATATACGCTGTTAGAAAGAAATTATGAAAATGGGACTCAGGTTTGTTTGCTTTTTCCTCTTATTCACACCAAATCAATACTGTCACACTTACTCAATAAACAATTGAATAAAACTTTAGTTATTATAGATATTGATTTAAAATGTTCCAGTGAAGAAAAATGGAAATGCTGAGGTAGTCTTCACCTAAAATAGAGGCAAATGAAATTATTCTCCTTAGTCTGAAGTAGCAGAACTCGAGAAGAGAGATGACAAAATGTGGGAATATATTCATGCTGAGGATATGAAGAATATCCATTATATGCCAAATGGCAGGTAAAGGGTATGGAAGGTTGTTATCAGTACCTTGTGGCTGCAAGGAAATGGCAGCTCAGAATCCAAAGAGAAAAAATGAGATTACCCTCAAAGCTCTAAGCACTAAGAGTGACACCTAAAGACACAGAACGCAGATATGCAAAATTACCTTAAATAAAGGATTTCATGGTTGATCAACTTTATAAGCACAGTGAAAGAATGGAGGCATTGCAAGGAATATTCTCCAGCTATGCAAGTTCAAAAAAAGGAAAATCAGCAAGACAAACACTGACCATGAATACCCAATAGCTAAGAGACTTGAGAAAGTGATTCTTGGTTATAGCAACAGAGATGTCAACAATCAACATGACTTAGTAAAATATTTTAGGGTGAGGACTACAGATATTTGGTACATCTAACACAGTTTCCTAAAGTTCTATTTTCAAAATGCTACCTCTGATTATGATTTGGCTTTCCATAGAGAAGAGAAGGGAAAAGAAAGAAAGGGGAGGGCAAGAGAGAAGAAAGAAGATTTTAAGCATTTCTGTGATTTGGGGATCTTGTGACACTCATCTGTCGAAGGCCGTAGTATCTTCTGGTTAATTGTTGTTTTCCCATATGGATTTAGAACAGGGTTAAATCGTGTTGCTAATTAATACCTGTTATAATATTGGGTGCCATGGGACAGGTGTCTGTCACAGAGTGAAGAAATGTACTAATAATCTGGTGGCAGCCTCACTCACCGAGGAGTGAGTACTCTCCACTTTAAGTACTGTGAGTTACCTTCTCAAATCCTGATCCCGTGGAGTGCAATCACCTTGCAGTGTCCTGACTGGGGACCTCCACCTTGGCTACTGCCGCTTTCGCTTCCCTTTTTGGTTGATTGTCTACCTGCCTTTAAGTTGCTCTTTAAATGTCCTCTCCTCGGAGCAGAGGTTAGCTATGCCCCTGTATAATATAAGTCTGCTTCCCTTATTTTCTCCCTGACACTTCCTTTTCATAGGACTTTTTAGAATTTACCTTTATTTTCATGCCTTATTTATTTATTTATTTATTTATTTATTTATTTTACTCACTTTCTGGTTTTGTTTATGTTTGTTCTGTCTCCCCAACCAGGATTCAGATTCATGAAAAGACAAGGACTATGTCATTTCTGTCCACTGTCCTATCACCAGGGCTTAGCACAATGTCTACCACATATTAGGTGTCCTATATTTAACAAATAATTTCTAACTATAGTTCATGTAGAATGTAAACCTTTTCCCAAGATATTTCACCTACATTACAGATACTATGAATAGCAGAATGAGTACTGTCATTAGTGAAGACAGAGCCCAAATTATCCATTGATACAGGGAGGTTGAAAGCCTGGGGAACTGGATCCCAGTGAAGACAATTTATTTTTTTCATTAAAAATCATTTATTGCCAAGAAATGCTAATCATCATCTGAGTTTTCAGTGAATTATAATCTTTTTGCTGGAAGGTTCTTGTCTCAGTGTTAACAGCTACTAACTGATCAAGGTGCTGTTTGCTGAAGGTTGGGGTAGGTTATATGAAGCAAAAGGAAAGAATATATTAATGAAAAACACTATTTCAGTGGAAACCAAAATTCAATTTTTGAACAAACAATAAGTGGCTTTTAACATAAATGTATACCATGAGTTACCTCAAAATAATTGTTTGTAAGCTAAATTCTTGGCTTTAGACATGCCAACAGCAAAATATGCAGAAGAGAATCTTCTATATAGGTTTTTCCAAGGCAAAAACACCAGGAGGTTAATAATAAGTAGTTGAGGAGAAATAAGGGCTGCATGTAGTACAGGTGTGATTCTAGGATGCCTAAGTGGCTCTTGCCTTCTGCCATCTGCCTTCAGCTCAGGTCATGTTCCCAGGGTCCTGGGACCTAGTCCCGCATCAGGTTCCCTGCTCAGAGGGGAGCCGGCTTTTCCCTCTGCTTGCCACTCCCCTGCTTGCATTCTCTCTCTCTCTCTCTCTTTTTCTCTCTCTCTTTGACAAATAAATAATAATGAAAATAAAAGCGTCAGAAAAACACAACAACAGGTGTGATCTTTAGGAACAATCATCAAATTCAGGATTTGAAAGGCAGTTATCACTGGGGAGAGAGGAAGGGAATAACCTTCTCAGGGTTACAGAGGGGGTTTCTAATGGTTTCTAATGTATTCTATTATTTTCCTTTTTTTTTTAATTGATCTTAATTTTGGCAAATTCTAAGACTTGATGAAACTGGTCATCAAATAAATCATACTATTCCCTGTACTCTTTGGAATGTTTGAAATACTTCATAAAAAAATAATGAATGGCCCTGAAGGATATCCAAAATGAACATGTAAATAATTTCAAGAAAGGCTTAGGGGTACCTGGGTGGCTCAGAGGGTTAAGCCTCTGCCTTCAGCTCAGGTCATGGTCTTAGGGTCCTGGGATCAAGCCCCACATTGGGCTCTCGGCTCAGCGGGGAGCTTGCTTCCCCCTCTCTCTCTGCCTGCCTCTCTGCCTACTTGTGATCTCTCTCTGTGTGTCAAATAAATAAATAATTTTTTTTTAAAAGAAGGCTTAAATTAATTGGAAAAAAAACTGTTCTTCATTAGGTAATGCTGCATACAATAAAATTAAATTGTTATTTAAATTTTAGTTAACATACAGAGCAATATTAGTTTCAGGAGTAGAATTCAGTGATTCATCACTTACATATAACACCCAGTGCTCAATCACAAGTGTCCTCTTTAACACTCACCATCCATCTAGCCCATCTCC